TCTAGTTGTGGAGGATGTTGCTTCACTGGCCCATGTTGGTATTATCATTGCGCTCTTCCCGGGTGAAGCAGATAGGTTGCTGGCCTCTGGACAGCCGCTCATGGTGGCTCTTCACAGCTCACATCGGCTGCCAGCCACTCACGCTGGCTGCCAGCCACACCCGGTAGCTTATGGCAGCCCACTGCAGCAGGGGCTGCAGCCTACCCATTGCCGGCGACTCACGGCAGCCCAGCTCCAGGCTGAGCTGTTGTTCAGCATCTCAGCTGTAGAGGGCAGTGTCACTGGCCCTCATATGGGATCTGAACCGGGGCCCTCTGGCGTCCCAAGCCAGCTCTTAACCATCGCGCCACTCGGCCGGCCCTCCATGCCTAGGTTTTTAGCCAAGAAAAATGAACACAGAATGTCTATACAAAGATTTGGACACAGACGTCCATAGGCACTTCATTCATAATAGCCAAAGGTTTGAAAACATCCCCACTGTCCATCAACAGGAGAATGGGGAAACCGACCGCAGTACGTCCATAAAACAGAACACGGTTCTGCAATAAAAACAGAAGTACCCATATGCGCAACAGTATGAATGACCATACTGGTCTCAAAACCATCGTGCCGGATGAAAGAAGCTGAAGAAAAGAGCATGCTCCATATGATTGCACTTATAGAAAAATCTAGAAAAGACAAATCTAGTGTGCAGTGATAGACACCTACCTGATCAGTGGGTTGGACTGTAGGACAGAAACCTGAGGCTGGGGGTGGAGCTGCAGGTTGACTGCAAAGGGCCTAGAGCAGCGGTTCTCAACCTGTGGGTCGTGACCCCCTTGGGGGTCAAATAACCCTTCCACAGGGGTCGCCTAAGACCATTGGAAAACAAAAAGATATTTACATGACGATTCATAACAGTAGCAAAATGACAGTTATAGAGCAGCAACGAAAGGAATTGTATGGTTGGGGGTCACCACAACATGAGGAACTGGATTAAGGGGTCGCGGCATTAGGAAGGTTGAGAACCGCTAGACTAGAGGGAACTTTTAGGGGTGAGTGAAATGTTCTCTCTCTTGATTGTAGTTACAGTTACACAGGTGTTTATATATGTCAAGACTCTTCAACCTGCATCTGTAAAATGGTTCCATTTATGTAAATTGTACATTAGTGGAGTGATTTAAAAATACCTCGATTCAAGTGTTTGTGGACAACTTTTTAAACTCTCTGGTCCTCCTCCTTGTCAGTGAATGTGGTAACTAATGTAATATGGTTTCTTTCTCCAGGGACATTGAGATTAAATAGTTCTGTTCACCACCAGGACCAGATGGGCTTGAAACTAGCACCCTAGCAGGTCTGTTTCTGCCCCTTCTTTTAGAGATGAGAGAAATGGGGCCCGGAAAGAAGGAGCGACTTGTCCAGGGACACACGGCTTGATGCAGGCATCGACTCCAAGTTGCTGCTCGGGGAGGTTTGGGTTTAAAACAGAAAAAGAAAACAGACATCCTCAGCCCGCCTCCTATCCCTTTCTCTTCTTCTTCACGGCCGAGTCCTGGGACAGGTCTGGGTTCCCTGGGAAAGGTCAGGTCTGCCAGGCGGGTGACCGCACAGGCCCTTTGTCTACAGAGCACCTTCTAGATGAGCTGTCCATCCTGTCATCATGTGGGCAGTGAGGGCTGCAGAGCACGAGCTCTGCTTTTCAGCGGGGCCACCTTGTGTAGGTCTGTCCTTCCTCCCTGGCCTGCCTGCCACCCAGGGTCGTCATGAGGAGCAAATGAAAACATGGATGTCTGCTCTCGCCACTCTTATCCAAACTAGTGCTAGAAATTCTGGTCATTGCAAATAAGGCAAAGCAAGGAAATACATTCTAAGTCACAGGATGCAAGACAGATACAAAAAATGATATTTCTATAGATAGTATTCCCACTCCCCTTATCAATGAGAGATACATTCCAAGGCCCCCAAGTATATGCCTGAAACCACAGATAGTACTGAACTCTATATATGAGTACATGTATCATGTTTTTTTCTTACACTCATATATACCTTTTCACTTGAAGCACTTTAAGGCTTCTCTTTGACACATCTGAATTGCTGGCATCACTACTATTGTGCTTTGGGGCCATTATTAATTAAAATAAGGGTGACGTGAACACAAGCACGGTGATACTGCAACAGTCAATCTGATAACCAACACAGCTACTAAGTGACTAACGGGCGGGGAGCAGACAAAGGGGTGATTCATGTTCCGGATGAGACAAAACAGGACGGCGCAAGATTTCATCACGCTACTCAGAACGGCATGCAATTTAAAACTTATGAATTGTTTATTTCTGAAATTTTCCATTGAATATTTTCGGGCAGTGGTTGACCCCAGGTAACTGAAACTGAGGAAAGAGAAACTGCGGATAAGGGGGGTTGACTATACTAGTAATTAACACCAAAATTAAAAGTGCAATACCATTTATGATCACAAAAGAAAGAAAGAAAGAAAGAAAGAAAGAAAGAAAGAAAGAAAGAAAGAAAGA